GGGATATATCTAGAGCACACTTAGCTCTGATCCATTCCTGATACTAAGATATACATGTACTTATGTTCTGTAGAAAGTTTGAGCTAGTTCTGATCAAATTTGAATTTTTAAAGGGACACGTTCACGGAAATAGAATGCACACGTTACTGTAGAGGAAGTAAACATTAAATTGGGCGTGCAACAGATCATTAATTAATAGTTATGACACGTGTTTAGACACGCGTAGAGAGTAGAGACAGCAATCAGTCGCAGAACCAGGAGTAGGCATCTGTAGAACACTTCTCTCGAACAGAATTAGCTCTTTTGCCACCCCAAGATACTCTTTTTAGTGAAGAAACACCAGGAATATTTACAAGTAGTCACTCGAGTAGCCATTTTGCCTTAATTATTAGGGGGCGCAGCCGCACGTTATGAATAGTTATCAACACTAAACGTCATCATTAATGATGTCATCTTGAAAAACGGGCCAGTTTTTCAAGATGACGTGCTTCTGTGCATGTGTCCCTTTAAATTTGCTCTAAAATCAGGCAAAAGTCCCTGTACTATAGTACAAGGATTTTGATGAAATTTCACCAAAATTGACAAGTAGAAAATTCCTCAACTTTATTACATTTTCTGATACATATACTTGTTCTTATATTGTGTAGAAAGTTTGAGCTGATTCCGATCAAGTTTGGATTTTCTATGATTTTTTAAAGTTGCTCCAAAATCGGACAAAAGTCAGTGTACTATAGTACAGGGATTTTGGTGAAATTTTACCAAAATTGAAAGGGAAGAAATTTCTCAATTTTATTACATTTCTTGATACATATATATGTATTTAAGTTGCATAGAAAGTTTGAGCTAATTGTAACCAAGTTTGGATTTTTTATGAATTTTTAAAGTTGCTGTACTATAGCACATGTCTCACCATATAAGGAAAGATCAGTGTTTCCATGGAAACCATGAAGGAGGAACACTTCAACTGGCAGTATATATCCACAGAGACCAGCAACAGCAGTGAATATCGTAATTAACAAATGTTCATTTAAACCTTGCAACAGTTTACCCTGTACAGGAACAATGAAGCAGGTCAAATGTACACTATAATGCGTTACCTTGTTTGAATTAGCCACTCCTTCCAATTTATTATTAATCTTCCTTCTAATTTTAACAAAATTAATAACCAGCGAAATAATATACAAAATACAAGATATACTGGCCACACCTACAGATACATACTAGTTATAAATAGTTATTAAGGATCATAATCACCATCATTATTATTATTATTATTATTATCGGATACAATGAGGCCACGCCCATAACTGCTACCCCACAGACTGTAAAAAGGAAGGAACACTTGAATGCCCCTACAATACATAAACATATGTTACCATAGCAACATCAAGTAGACCCACCTCTCACAGAGTTCATAGACTAAGAGACCAAGAGCAGTCAAGGAAGCAAAGACTAGGGAATGTATTACCGACTGAATACCACTCTCCTATTAATAATAATAATAATAATAATAATAATAATAATAATAATAATAATGATGATGATGATGATAATAATAATAATAATAATAATAATAATAATAATAATAATAATAATAATAATAATAATAGTAATAATAATAATGACCATTGCTGTGTTGGTTACCTGAACATCAT